ACCTGCAAAGAGCAGACACAACTGCTCATCAGCTTCTCATAAATCTACATTCACACAGGGCTGTGAGTCTTTTTAGCCACACTTGCCCTTCCCCTCTGGAAATCCTCATTGTTCACTTTAAATCCTCTTGCATGTAAACATTTTCCCAAAAGCCCTCTGACATGCTGCTAAAATGCAATCGTTGGCCCCAGTGCCATAGCAAGACTAACTGCTAATAGAAGAATGATAGTTTATCATTTTCCTTAAAATTAGGAGAACAAGATTTACAAAATGTTCCTGGTAGTGCAGCTCTCCCGACATAACTGCGGTATCTGACAGGTCGGCTGGATAAACATGTCAGCCAGGATGGGGAAGAGGGCAGAGGTTTTCTTGTCTGCAGCCTGCAAAAATGTGCCTACGTCAAACCGCAGTGTTATGCCACAAAAGCAATGCATTAAAAATCAACATTTTTTTATTCTACTCTCTGCTCTGTTTTCTGCCTGTGTCCTGGCTTTAGACATAATAATGAAAAGATCTCTTTACTCTTTTTTTTTTTTTTTCTTTCCAGAAAGTCATATTCTGCAATTTAATAATTTGGAATATCTCCTGTAATTGCATTCATACAAAGCTTTTCCTAAATTTGCTTTGTGATTTCCCTTCTCCTTGCTCAATATTTTATTTTTTCTCCTTATAAAAGCAGGTGCTAGCATACTGAAGGGCTTGGCATCTTCCAGGCTATCTGTCTAAAATTGCCTTGGCCAAGGGCTAGGGACAGAGAGGGCTACCTGCTTTGATTCATTAAATAATTTTATCTATAAATAAAAACTACTTATCACACACCATTTGGAGGTATGTGATACCACTGGCCATCTGTCCCACTTCCAAGTGCCTGCAAGGCTGCCTGGAGTCGTCCTGAAATAGCTTAGGCTTTCTATGCGATGTGTTACACAGCAGGATGGTAACAGCGACTCTGCATGGAGGACATTGTGCTCGCATCTCTTCTGTGTCCTGTGGGAACTCACCATCTCACAGCTCCCTGGGGGCTTTTTGAGATCAGTGCCTGGCTGCAGCGGAGCTGGTGGAAAGTGCAGTCAGACAGGAACGACGGAGTGCAGGGGCTCATAGTGCTGCACTGGGAGGTACTTAGAAGAGCTTCCCCCTCTTGTTTTCTCTGCTACTTTGGCCCATCTGACAAGGACTTGTTAGTGAATTAGTCACAGCTGGATTTTCCAAATTACCCAAGACAAGAAGCAAGAAGCTGCTGGATCTTAAGACTCAGCATTCCCTTAAAAATCCTGACTGAAATTCAGTGCATTTGTAAATTGGCAAAAGCATTGAAACACAAATTAATAACTCACCTGGTCAGCTGTTCTTATTTCTGCAATAAACTCACAAGTCAACAATTTTCAAAATCAGCAGATCAACAAAGGAAAACAAATTAGCTTCTTGCCGGTAGTTGAGAAATTGAGTGAGAAATTCATATCACTTCTTCCCTGTTTAAGACTATGGGAACTCTTGATGGATGCTCTTACCCGTCTTTGGATGCAATAAGGAGGCTTATTTCTTATAAAGTTTGTGGCATATATTTCTTAGGTTTTTGCAGTGTAGTTAATTTATTCATTACTTTGGAAACAATCATAGACAGTAATCAGAATGCCTACGAATTGATGATATTTCAGTATATTATTTCAGAACACAAGAGGACAACAACTTTGGCCATGATGGAACTGTCAGGACTTCTATTAGTTTTTGCTTAATCTTGTGTTGCCCTGAAAGGACCTTTCCTTGGACCCAGGTCCCGCTTTCTTAGTGATGTTTAAATGCAGAAGAGAAGCTCTTCTCTGTCCCAGACTAGCTTACAATCTTTAAGGAGCCTGACTCTTTGTTATGCTAGGTGGGTCTTCTATAAGCTAGGGCCACAAGGAAAAGTGACCAGGTACTCACCAGGTCAGAGAAGAAGGTTGCCATCTCCTACGAAAGAGTCGATTCCTGTCGCTTACTGGCTAGTCCCTGCCAAAGGAAGCGAATGCTCACATCATGCAATAGCAGTGTTAGTGAGCTAGTCCCATGTTACTCAAGTTAAATTTTACTTCAAAGGTTTTTGAGTTAATTACACCTATTTCAGCTGTTGTACAAAGTTTAGAATTGTTGGATTAAATATTTCAACCAACAGTTATGTGCAGCCCAAGTAAACAAGGTGGTCTCCTTTTGGGGGGAACTTTGTGAACTCTATGTGGTCCTAGGGGGATCAGGACCTGAGATAGCTATTTTGGACAGGATTCCATTAACCTTAGCTTGTTTAAACATGAGCTGAGAAATGGAGAGGCACTGTTGTCTGATGGGAATCTTACATGGGTTTGGACAGTGAACTATAGGACTTTGAATACAATGAGAGACAGTTACTGTCTTTTCATGGGATGGCAACTGGAGCACATCAGAACTTAATCATTACTGAAAGAAATTGAAATGCTCCATCATTTTGAAATGGGGTATAAACTTAACCATTGTAGAGCAGCACACCAGGCTTGACCAGATAAATATTTAACAATGCTTTTCCTTTACTGAGTAAGTAAGATTCAACATTTTTTTCTCTAACATTTGACAGTAGTCTATCTATTTCTTTTCTTGGCTGTGAGAAAAAAAGTGATCGCTTCAGAACAGTGCTGTAACCTCCATAGTGTTGTCTGCTCCTGGACTGCTGTCTCCTTGGCCATTCCTCCTCAGCCTCTGCCTGCTACACAAGTTTGCTTTCATTCTGTTCACCCCTGCTGCTTGTTACACATTACACATATTGTTACTTTTCCTCTTTGCTTATGTACTTTAATTGTAAAATTCCTCTCTGGAAGGTTAATACTCTTCCTCATGTAATTCTGTTTTTACAGTTATGTTGACTAATTGCTGTAGTGCTTCCTTGCTTTTACTGCCTACACCGTGGTGAGCATCCTCTTATTAGTTCTGTAGATTCCTAATTAGAGGTAACTAGTTTCTTGCAGATATTCTTTAGTCATAATTGTGATTGGGACAGTTAATCTTACGACATTGGGTATTTGGTCATTTTTCTTGTATCGTAAGTCACATGTGAGCAAATATGCAGGGCTGTGCTCTGCTCTCCTTAGTACAGGCCAGCTAGCCCAGAGCTATGCTCTTGTGCCCAGCTGGGAGCAGCCTCTGACCCAGTTTTAAGGGTTTATGTCTCAGCTGGAGTTCACATTTGAGGCATATCTTACGTATCAGTTGGTGTCTCTGAAAACAAGTGAACATGGGCAGTTCCCACAGCCTCTGAACAAGGGCCCCCTCTTTGTGGCTGTCACCTCCTGGATTGTTTGTAGGTCTGTGGCCCTAGGGCCTGGCCATAAACAGTGCTTTGAAGTACCACTCATAGGCCGTGGTCACTGTTGCTCCCTTTCAAAAGACTGGGATACTTTTAGGTGGCTTTTGGCAACTTCCATCCCTTATGAGCCAGAAATAGGAAGGGAGACCTGGATCTGCAGCCATGCTCTGAACAGACAATTGCCAGATGAAGCCTTGCTCCACTGGGCCCAGGCAAAGGTTGCCCTGTGTGCAGAGCTGCTGTTCTGCTTCGTGGCCCCATTAATGTTCCACAGGGCAGCTGCCCGCTTGCTGGTGAGCATCGTACCGGGAAGGCTTTCCTGGTAACATCTAATGAATAACCGGGATGAGAGACATGAGTCACTCAAGCAGTGCTACATGATGCCGTTCTCTTCCTATTTCCAAAGTCTCGGGGTATTAGTGTAATGGCAATAAGGATATTTTCAGAGTGACTGATCAGTAAAAGCCAATTCTGTTTTGTGGAAGTTGAGATTTCCTTTTTGTATGATAAGATTTCCTTTCTGTATTGGCAGTTGTCTATGAATCTCCAGTAATTTTTAACCATATTGTTATATGAAGCACTTCAGAAAAAAAAAAAAAAAAACTATTTTAACTTTACAGTTATTTTTTACTAGCAGGTCTTAAGTGTCCCTCGGTCCTGAAGGTAGGAATAATGAAAACCCCCAATAACAGAAGGGCGTGAGCACCAAAGAGGGAGTGATTTTTCCTAGGCAGGTGTCCCTGAGGAAGGTTTTGATGCTGGGAAACAAACATTTGAGAAAGCCAGAAGTTTTGTGATAAGTTAATCTGCCGTTTTAATTCTGTTTAATATTTCCAGTAAAAAAAAAAAAAGTTAAGATAAACAATTGGATTAATTCTTTGAATAGCCGCATGTGAGTTGAAGTAAGAGTGCCAGTCACAAAAATATCAGAGATAAAAATTTTATTTTACTGTGAAAGTCTAGAGCTTAGTTCTTATTCTGTATGCTGAGCTGCGCAGTGGGCCCTAGTATTTTCCATGTTCTTGGTAATAAAAGCACCGACTTTGCTATCAGACAATATGAACCTCCCATTAACAGAGAGAAATATGCCGAAAATCAAACGCTTTCTAAAGAAAAACAGTGATGTCCTGTGAGATTGTGTATAGCAAAAAAAAGTATCTGGTGCAACAAATCCCTGTGATACTTTATAATATCATGCTATCTTGCAAGGCTCACAAACGATTTTCACCTTTAACTGAGAAGCGTGGGAAGAATTAGCAACTAAATTTCAGAACGAACTGAATTTTTTCTTGAACTTATCATGTACTGAAGAAAAATGGATCATCCTAGACATAGAGAGCAGGCAAGAACTCCACTCTTCCCACCTCTGTCTTGTACAAACACATGGAAATTACAGCAAAAGAGGATCATGGGTCTGCCCTTCCTCTCTAACCAGTACAGTGTTAATAAATCTAAATATGGCAGTGTGTTAGAAAAGAGATTTACACCTAGCAAGGTAAGCCCAAATGCTTACGAGTTGAAAATCTCTCCTTCTGATATCAGACATGATCCTTCTTCTGTATCATCCAGAGTGGAGTGCTTGAGAAAAATGTGCTGTTTTGGCGAAATGAAACCTTTTAAGTGACAGATATGAAAACTGACAGTCTGCATTTTAAATTATGGATGTCTTTTTTTTTTTTTTTTTCTTCCTTTTAAGAAAGTTGGACTCCCCCTAATGGCCAATCAAAGCCTGGTGCAGAAGGTGTGATCCTCCATGACATGATTTGGAGCTGCTGGAACACACTTCTTAAAGTTTAACCTGTTGAAATCTTCTGTGATTTCCATGATTGACTTTCCTTTTGTTTCTGGGAGGAACAGGTGGATTATTATCCCTGAAGTGAGAAGTATCCCCATAAAGATGAGGAAGCAGAACTGCCCCAGGCTCTCCTGCAAGGAAGAGCAAAACAGGAGGAGGAGATGAGCACAGCTTTGGCTTGCCACTTCTTTTAGGGGGAAGGGGGATTGTATTTTGCATCCCTAAGTAGCTAGAACTTGAAAAGAGTTTGTTGCATTTTGAACTTCGACAAATATCTGAATCTGACTGCAAATTTGGGCCCTGAGGAGTGGGCTCGGGGGCACGCTAGGCTGCTGTGGCGTGGCTGTCTCATGCTCTTCTTCCCCCCCTGCAGCCACCTCCGGAGCTAGCGCAGCGGGAGCATCCCAGGAAAAGTCACTCACCACAATGAACGGGAAGGTTGTGCCGATCACAAAGACCCCCAGCCAGTTGATGGCTGCACCGATCACAAAGGCAGCTGGTCTGCATGACAGCTTAAAAATTTCAGTCCTAATGGACACCGTGGCACCAGCTGAAAGGAAATAGGAGTAAGAAATATTAACTTGTTGATGTGCTTGATTGGCCGTGTGGACTGCATTTTACCTTTACACAGCCAACAGTAGATACATCTATCATGTGCTGTCATTCAAAGGCTTGAATGTGTTGCTGTATTTTAAAAGAGAAAATACCAGCAGCATCTTTTAAGCAATAAGAAACAATAATTTATTCAAATAAATTTACTGTGGTAGTTCAAGAATTAAGTAGTTTGCACTTGTAAATGTCTAACATCTTGTCATGATAAATGCTGCGTAAGGATGGAATAACAAATCTTATTACTAATAAGAATTTCCTATGTGGTACTGTTAGATCAGCAGTGAATGATTCTCCTGGATTCACTTCCTGGGCATTTCAGGTGTGTTTTGAAGTCCCAGGACTTTTATGACAGCTTTGTTAGGGTATCAATTTCAACCTTGCCATATGGGAAGGAAGCATTTTAAAACAAATAGCCTTTTTAAGCTAAAGAGAAGCAGGTAGGCTGTATTAGGAAAAGAACCACTTCAAAGCAGGCCTTCTCCACTACTGTCCATGTGGGATAAGATGTAAAGGTATACAGTGCTGAATTTAAAACAGTCTCACTTTTTTTTTTAAATCTCTCTTTTTTTTCCTCGATATTTCTAAAAAATCTTTTTCCTATCTGCATTTGCTCTACTTCTTTTCTTTATTATTTTCAGTGAGTATCTGATGACATTGACATTTCTCACTGATGACTGAATCCCACAATGTTTAAATGACTACAAGATTAGATTGCATTAATTTATTTATGCTATATGTTTATTCAATATTTTGCAGTATTTTCCCACCATGTTAATAAGATCACTTGACTTGATTCCTTTAATTCTTTTGAACTAAGTACTCACCCGGGCCAATGCCAAAGACGACTACAAACAAGATAATCAGGCAGAGGCTGCAGTATGGCATCCAGAAATACCAGTCCTAGGGGAGAAAAGAAAACCAAAAAATAAACAAAAAACACCAATGCAAACAAACTGCTGGGTGCTATACAGTGACTGTAGATGAGAAATTGTTCTTGTATTTTTAGCCTTGTCACCTCATGAAAAAACCTAGTGTGTAGGAACTGGCAAGGAAACGTGGGCTACAGAAATGACACTGTAGAAAGGAACTGGTAGCCTGTCTCCAGTCTCTGGACAAGCATGTGCATTCCCAGTGTCTTCTGCACCAAAATTAAACTTCAAATTAATCGATTCAAGGATTCTGCTCTCTTTATTGTGTTACCTATCATGCTAAGAACTACACAAATGAACAAGTTTTCCTTCAACTGTCTTTTGACCTGTGCTGAACTGCATTTGTGCTCACTGCCTGATGAAATCGGGAATCAATGCTCAGGTGCCAGAGCTTTCTGTCCTCCTTGCTGAGCTCCCTGGGTCGTGTCAAAGGGGAGGCAGAAGTGCAGAGGGTACTTGGTGAGAGAGATCTAGGCCTATGTACAGACAAACTTGCTCTTCATAATATTCTCCTCTATCTGCCCCAGAGGATAAGCTATTAACACCAAAGTAATTTTGGAACTTCTAAGCCTTACGTTCTTTCCTTAGTAGCATGGTTCTAGCTGGGAGCAGAGGACTGGAAATAGAAGTGATAAAGGGATCTGCCATGACAAGAGCTTCCTTGCCTGTAGGGAGAGAGTCACTGTGATACCAGCCATCAGTAAAGCCATGATCCGGTAACCTCCTGATAGGAGCGTTTTCCTGCCCAGTCGCTCAATGAGGGAGCTCTGAGGGACAGAAGTCACACAAATACTCGTGTCAGGTTCGTAGATGGAGACAGAAGAACAAAATCTGATTCATTCCCACAGAAAGTGACTTACTTACACAAACTACAGTAGCTAGGAGTTCAGAGAGTCCAACAGAGAGGGACATATAAGAGATCATTCTTTCATCAAATCCAGCTGCCTGGAGGACTTCGATAGTATAGAAATAGATCTGAGGAAAGAAAAAATAGTAAGAGAGACAGCAAATGATCCCTTACCCATTCCTGTGTGACACTGCCCTGGATAGGAGCTCCTAACCAAGGAGCATGATGCTCAGCTTTGGAGTGAGCAAGACTTCTGCACTCTTTTTGTAGCATTCACTTTATTGGCAGACAAAAACACTGAAAAAACAATATTATTCAATTACCTTACTAAAAAATAAAATGCTATGCTAAAAGGATCTCCAGCTACTGTAATGTTAAAATTACTCCAGCTGTCTAAAAATTAGGTATATAGAGAATTGATTTAGGTGTTTTCAGAAACAGTAAAGTATATTATCACTTTTGGAGCACATCCAAAAAAAAAAAAAAAAAGACTGTAAGGTATACTCCTCTTTCCCGAGACAGAAGAGCATGGCTGATGGAGTCATGTGGGAGTAAAATGGGTATCCTTTCTTTTTCAAGTGTCCTTGCTACTCTTTGGAGATGTGCTGAGATGATAAAGATTCCAGTCCAAACTGTGTTACACTCAGCTCTGTGTTTTTTTACAGATGTTGCTTCACCATGATGTTAGAGAGGGAAGAATATTTCAGGCAGTCATAAAGCTGTGGCTCCAAAAAGATCCTAAGGAAGTGCTGAAGTGAGGAAGATGGAGAGAAGTGCAGAAGCTGCCAGAACAGTAAGCTGCTCCTTCTTTGGCTTTAAGGGTAGACTGAGCATCCCAGCAGATGCACCATGTGCCTTAGGATGCTGAAAGACACAGGCCAAAAGGCAGTAGCTGCTGGGATGAGTAACAAACTACTGTAGATTTTGCCGGTGAAGGCAGGGCTCATCTGTAGCAGGGGGTTCTGCTCCTTTTACATTACTGCAGTTGCCAGAAATGGCTGTTACACAAGCCTGACTACTGAGGAAGGCAGTTCCAGCAAGGACCCAGAGCAGGGCAAAGGTGGCTCGCACGGGAGCCCCGCCAAGGCCTGCAGGCTGCTGCAGCTATAAAGGAGAGCTGCCTGACACAAGGCAGTGGTTGGAAGAACTCTGAGGAAGAAGAGAGGGCTCCTGGGAGCCATGACATCTCATTTAAGATTATCAAAAAGTGTTTTGAGGCTTGAAGGGGGAGATAACACTCAACTGCACTGATGCCACATAGCTGAACTGTGGCAGTCACAGTAGTTAACATGTAGAGCTGCCAGCGGAGAGATGGTTCCTTTATTAGCTCCAGGACACTCAAGATCTTGGTGTTTTTCATTGTTGCCTTCTCTTTCATGATGTCTTCAATCTCTGCTTGGTGACATCCTTCACCCCAAAGCTGCCTTATGGCTGTGGAGAAGGAGAGTGAGATCTGCCATGTTAATTCATCTCTGTTGTTTGTTGACTAAGGAGTTTACTGAGCAGTTCATGCATGAGTCTGTCAGCACAGACATGCATGGGCTGTGTCTGTGGTGTGAGGCAGCAGTGTCCTATGGGGTGTCCCAGGGCCTGTCCCCTCTTGCACAGCCTGTTCAGAGGGGCCTAGTGGTTTATGTTCTACAGGAGACTATAGCAATATGTAGTAGGTGCTCACAGAGTCATTTTAGAAGTGAGCAGGGAGAAAACTATCTCATTTTTTCTCCCATGAGGAGACCAAAGGTTACAAACCAATCGAAAATCAAGTGAGGAACAGGAATCTGGAGCCCTCTGTTACCTTTCTTGCAGCCTTCCTGATCTCCTTTTTGCACGAGGAGGTATGGTGGGGTCTCGGGGAAGAAGGGCAGAGTGACCAGTTGGAGCAGTGCTGGAACTGCACAGAAGGCCATCAGGATGGGCCACAGAGACTGGCTGCCCAGCAGCTCCCTGGAGCAGAGAAAATATATGTGTGTAGAATTAAAGTTTGGGTTGTTTGAGGACAAAAAGGAATAGATAGAAAAGCAGAGAGGATGAAGCAAAAGGTAGAGGGGACCCAGAAATGAATTGGGTGGGAAATCAAATTTATTATACCTTTGTCCTACAATTTGCCCTACGGCTTTTCCCAGTGACCAAAAGAAAGAGGCAGTAGAGTTTGCAAATCCACGTAGCTTCTTAGGGGAAATTTCCCCAAGATATTGATGATGCAGAGGAACACATAGACCTTGAGGTGAGGAGGGAATTATAGGAGAGAAGAAAATATTTATAACCATTTGAAATAAAATTGCATACAACTAGTTAAGCAATACAGAGTGTAGCTGTCTCAAGCACTGAATGGTTTCTCATATGTAAACCGAGGTAGGAAGTTTTTCAGTACCAGATTTTCTACAAAACTGTTCAGTTCCTGGCTTCTTTCCACACTACAGTTTCCTTTCTTAAGAAATGTGGAGTTTGGGATATAGCCTCCTCGTCACGTATCTTGTGAGCCTGAGTGTATTTTAAAAGAAACAGAGCAGCAGGGAGGGGGTAATTTTTTTTTTTTTTTTTGCAGTTACAAGCATGACCTCAGTCTTTTCTGACATGATTTTACAGAAGAGCTGCTATGAAACATTCATAGTAGATTGAAATATAAAGTGCAGTGTGTCTATTTCTAGGGATTTGAAGTTGGATTCTACATGATTTGAGGGGGACATGAGTATGTCCTTTCTGCCATCCATCAACAATTTTGGTTATTTTATGCAGAGTCAATATTTGCAGCTATTAATGAAATACTTAGAAACCCAGACTCCCTGTAAACTAGTCCAGGAACAAGAGCTTTTCTTTCCAATGGTGGTCACGGCCCCTCTTGTCTGATCTGAAAGCAACATGTTCTTCCTGTAGCTTTGTGTGAACACAAAGTGATGGAGGTAAGCAATCTCATTAACAAAAAATAGATCTTTGTGTGAGGGAGGACATTACAGGGCCCGTGTGTGAGTGTCAGTGAGCTCTGTACCACCTGCCAGGAGGGATCTGCTCGATTCTGCCTTGCTCTTTGGATTATCCCCAACAAGTAGTGCTTGAAGCAGGTTCAATACCCTTCTTGTGAGATACATACAGAGTCAGAATAAAATGTATTGTTATATATTATAAAAGATCATCTGAGAATGGATCACCAATTTTAAGATGAAGAGTTATTTACTTTGAATAAAGACATAACATTATGGGAAATTACTGCTGTCTTGTGGGAGGAATCACTCACCTGTACTTATGCCATACACGAAGCGTCCAATTAGAATCATCTCAAAGGATCGGGCTATTTTACTGCAGCCCATGATAAGTGCTGCTGTTATCATCAGCAGATTGTTGCACAGGAGACATTTCCTTCTGTAAGTGCAAGAAAGTAAGAGGAATTTTTGTAAATCAGGAGGGAAGTTGTTCTTAAACTCCTGGCATGTGGGATATTCCGGGTTAAACAATCTCGCTAGTTTTGTCAAATTATGAACCCCCCTCCTCTACTTCTTCTAGTAGCCCAGCCTCAGTACTGCATCCGGTGTGACAGGCTGGCAGTGCAGCTGATGATCCAGTGCCACAGGACAGGGGGAAGAAGCAGCAGAATCTGTGAGCACCACTGCCAACCTGGCTATATTGCAGCTATTGATGGGGCTGTGGACTTATGCACTGTTGTTTGGGTCCTGCCCTGTGTAGTGTAACCTGTCGTAGAAGAGAAGACAGATGGTCTGAGGGAAGTGCTACCATATTTCTTTATTATAAAGGTGACTATTTTCTCATTTCTTACTTTGCCATATCTAGTTGAAGACTGATCTATACTTTCACAGGAATACACAGTTTACATTTTGGAATCCTAAAAGTCTGCCTCACATTCAAAAATCCCAAGAGTCATTTCCTTATGTCAAGGTTTGATTGACAAATTGTCTTTAAACATACATACTTGCCAAACTTGACAGTCAAGTATCTGCTTCCTGAAGAACCCAGGAGACCTCCTATACCAGTGATGGACACGATTAAAGACCACAGAAACAAGAGGTTGTCCTGGTGGATGGGGTAACCGTATCGCTCCAACCAAGTTTCATTAATGAAAGCCTTAACATGCTGAGAAAGAAGAAAGAATTTTTATTAAGAATAACTGTGACTCCAGTGCATTTTTAATATATATTTAGAATATAGTTTCACTGCTTTAGGCAAAGGTACTACTTCAGGTCGACACTAGCAGTGACCATTTGTTCATAGACATAGTGAAACAGAATGTGGCATTTTCACTTTGCCATTAAAAGCAGTTCATCTGTTGTGTTATTGTTCTTTAAATATGAGAAATTAGGGCATGGATTTGTAGTGAAGAATAGCATGAATGTCCCTTTGGAGCTCTCCAAATGCATTTTGCCTTTTCCCTCTCTGAATTTTTGCTCTCAGAAACATACCAGTAATGCCAGCTTACACAGTGCCTCTTCAGTGCCAGTCCCTGGATACTTCCTTGCTCAGAACTTATTGCTGGAGGCTGAAAGTATCACTTTTTCCCTAAGGGGATTTCTACCTAATCAGAGTGCCTTCTCACAAAACCCCAGTGTCCTTAGTGGAAATATATTAGGATTTTTACCTGTGATGGTCGAGGGCGGGAGGGTAATACACATTTTCCTAGAGCGCTCGTCTACCTTACGAGAAGATAGGTAGAACTGCAAGACTACCAAACAGTAACACTGAAGTAGACACATGTGCTGTGATCTTAATGTAGGGGAGGCAGATTCCACTGCAGTCAGTACCCTTCTGAGGAACAGATCTATAAACAACAGACTGCAGGTTTCTCACTTCCCTTCTTTTTCCTACACTTTGTTGTGCTCTGCCTTACGAAGTAATATCATAAGGGGAAAGAATCATAAGAGGATAATACCATAATTAAACTTTTGCTGATTGACAGAGAGGAGCACCCTCAAGCAGGGATGTAGGCTCAGTGCCCCCGTAACCAATGTGCCACGTGAGTCTTTGCCTACCTTAGACATGTAGGTGATTGTAGAAATTTGAAGACCAATTTGGAATGTTCCACCAATCCCCAGGATAGGGATCATTTGGAAGAGTCCATGGTACTGTACCTGCAGAGGTAGAACAAAATCTCCTGAAGGCTGTAGCCACATCAGGCTTTTCCTTAAGTGTGTCTCTCATTCTCCAGAGACGTCTCATTTGTTGAAATAATTTTCAGACAGGTGTGTTCCCTCTGCTTGCCGTGGTGTGAGGAGTACATCCCCCTGTGAGTTCCCTACATGCAGCTCAAAGAAGCGCAGGCTTGTTTGGAAACGGTTACATTTCCCTCCCCTTCTTGACCACCGGTCAACAGAGCAGTAAATTGAAGGTCATTCCGCACTCCAGGATCAACACGTGTGAGAATGTTTTGGAAAGAGAGGTCTTACCTTCCTCTCTGTGACCTGGATTGTGGCCATGTTATCTGTTATCTGCAACTCAGACCTGTGGCAACAATAGTGACCAGGCCATCTGTACCTGGAAAACTTTTCCTATCTAACCGGAGAGGCAGGTGCCGTGCTGGATACCCATCATTGTCTTGAGTAGTAGGCACTGATCCCTCAACCAAAGTTTTGTGTCAGAGCCTCTGGAAATTGCTCAGAACAGCTGAAAAATCAAAAAGAAATCTGAAGCCTGAAGCATGCTTCTCCAATGAGACAGTCCATATTTTTACCTAGATGGAGAGGAGTAAGCAGAACAGTTCTGGGAGAGAAGCTCCATTGTGCACCAGGTTTGCACCATCTCTGCTGTAGCAGAAAGGTGTCTTTTTCAAACAGATCTACCCCTTATTATGTGGTCAGTTCTGAACTCTTGTCCCTCCTGTCTGTCCCAAGCAACAAGACATCTTAATCTCTTGGGAACTTTGAGAGCAAGCACATTGATTTTTTCCTGGTTTATTTCAGATGCCAAAAACACACAGCTGAAACTGTTCTTAAGACTTACTACACTACCACAGCCTTTGCAACACAACCCACTGTGTATAATGTGAGTGAATGAAGAATTAGCAGCTTTTCAAAGGTGCCTTGCCCTATAACTCTTTCCTAAATTAGAGGTAGGTGTGCCCAGTAGAAGCAGGACGATGCTTTTCCTCCAAGAGGTGCTGTCCAAGCAGGAGGCGCCTTGCTCATGTGTGAGGCAGCAGCTCCACGCTGAGCCGAGGCTCAGTCTAGCGCAGCCGCCGCGGGGACCTGGCTGCCGCAGGTGCCCACAGCCATCCCTCTCGAGACGCCGCAGCTTCCAGGGGCTGCCTGTTCCCTGCCTTTTCTGGCACTAAATAATGAGTAACGCATTTTTCAAGCCTATTTTTACAGCAAGTAGGCCTAGCAAACCTGTATTTTTCTGTAAAGGAAAACCTTTAAGTTAAAATATGTCCAAGAGGGTTGACAGAACACGTGCAGTGCAGGCATCCGTAATACCTCAAAACAGTGAGGCAGGACTGCTTCTGTGAGGCTTTTAAAGAACGGAAGCCTTGTAACAGTCGCTAAGATACTGATTTTGTTTCATTGCTGGTGTGCCAAAATACCCCAGGAGTAAATCCCCCCAGGCACTCACCATGTCTGCGAGGCAGCCGGCCGTCGCTGGCTGAGGGGCCGTCGCAGCCCGTGAGGTGCCGTTGTCATCACAGGGAGCTCTGTCTCTGCCGCTCGCGTGGCGGTGGGCAGCCCGCTCCCGCGATGAGGGTTAAATTTTTACTATTTTATCCTAACCGACTTATATTTACTGCAACTGGACAAAGTTAACACTGCAGGATTAAATATTTCAGGACAGAATTGCATCTAGTCCAGTCGGCAAGTGGAGAGGTTTCAAAGCAGAGGAAGTTTTGCATCTACAGGGTAGGCAGGGTTTGGAAAGGGAAAGGAGAATCGCTCAGGCAAGAAATCAGTTTTCCAGCTACAGTAAAATACTTCTGTGATACAAACTGAGCGGTATCTCATGCTGTAATCTATACAAAGCAAAAAGTACCTGGTATCTGATTTAGATACTTGTGCTTATTAAGAAATAAAATGTATTATTGTGTTTTAGTTTGGCAAGTACAACAAATATCATTTAATTGCTGGGAAAACAGGCACATGGCTCTGTTGGTCTTGAAGTACATTTAGAAAATTTCAAAGCTTGATTTGCCTGCTCTGAGTTTGTGTATCAGGTAGATATTAGGGAAGGGTATTTAGTGTTTGGGCATGAAGGGGATGTTCATAGGCCAGGAGGTGCGACAAGATAAGGGAGACTGTGCCCTGGCAGCGACTTTTGGAGCAAAATATCTGGTCAGGGAGGCTCCTGTTCCCTGCAGTCTGTTTTAGAGAGAGTGCCTGGAAGAAGGAGGTTTGCCTGGGGCTTCTTGTGTGTTGGCTGGTGCCCAGAGCTATTCCACCTTTCAGAATTCCAGCTTTTACTCCTACTCGTGCCCCCCTCCAAGGCTTGGGGTCAGGGCAGATGATGAGGATGAACCTCATGTCCAAGCTCATCCTTAGGACTTACACTTTCGGTCATGGAAGCACTAAATACAATTATTTACAGAGGAGTTTAGTGCCTGTTTGAGTCTGAAGAAATGAGGAGAAAAATGTTAATGACAAAACCTTGGTTACTTGTGTAATACCAACTATTGTCTATATAGCTGCAGAGCAGATGCTGTTTGTTCTGGCTTGCAATGGCATTTGGAATGATTCAGCATTTTGTGTTTTCTCTTAAATTCAAACAATAGTAACGTTTTGGACATACAGAAGTTCAGGTTGCATAGCTATCAACTCATTCCTCTATTGGCTTAAGATTTTAATGCTTCTTTTTCATTGCATAATGATTTTTATGAGATTGTATGAGTGTCAGGGATTTTTATGTGATAATAATTGCTGTACATCTTGCAAAATAATTACTGAGGGTTTCGAATAGCACAAATTCCTCATCTTGCAGTGTAGTTGCTGTTAGATTTTGAGGTCTCCCTTGTGATTCAGAGCTGCAGTTGACTGTATAGTGTGGTACTGTTTCAACTTATCAGCGATTTTAGGAGAAATTATGCACATGGAGAAACTTTCAAGTGCAGTGAAAAATGGTTCACAGCCTTTTGTTGGGCCCTGTGCACTGATTCAACAGCCAACCACCACATAGCACCTGCTTTGGACTCTGCTGTAGTCCTTTCTATTCATACTTCCCTAGAGCTTTACTATGTTGCGGTTCTTGTAAAGGAATTATTAGTAATTAGAAATCAAAAGGCCTTAAAGAACTGAGAAACGACATTCTGCCATTTTCCTCCTCCTGCTCCCTCGGAATGGTCTCTTTAGTGTGGTGCTTATGTTGCCCTGGGCTTTCCTCCAGTTCCTGGGAAAGTTTACAATGATAGCAAAGAGGTTAAAAGTTAAGAATACCAAATAAGTAACTGAGGAAGTAAAGTAATAATTGTATACCTTGTGACGCAAGGAAAACAGCTCTGTTCTACCCAAACTGCAAAGCTGACTGACTGGGGAAAAGGAGACAGTTCACTCCTCATGTCTATTTCCCTTAACTCAATCAGACCTGGATTTCTTTTTCTCCACTCAGAATACTTCAAGAGTACCAGAGCATCTTACGTAAAGCAAAGGCCTGTGTAAGGCTGAGCATTTGGGAGAAGGCTACGGTGTGTGACTAGGACATTAGGACAGCTCAGCTTCCATAGGGGAAGTTCTAAGGAAGTGGAAGTGATGGCTCGGGCAGAGAACAGGGAGAGGGTCTTGAGCAATAATCTGCATGGGCACATGAGGCTGCTGGGACCAAGGTGCAGGACTTGACAGTTTGCCACGAGTGATGGCAAGATTCAAGTTACTGGCAGTCTAAACCCAGTTTGTTTTGTCCCTGTGACATGAATCCCGCAAGGCTTTAGGTGTGAAACAGTGGTAGGAACAAGAGTTAAAACACGTCCTTCCCTGGAGGGAGAGAGTAACTGTGAGGATGGGCGGCACCAGGACCATTGGGACGCTTCCACAGCAGCGCCTGCCTGCCAAACCACACAGCAGAAATGGTCTGGGAGAGCAGGAAAAGCACCGACTTCACTCGAGCTACAGCTCCGAGTACAAACTCAGCAGCAGAGCAGCTTGCGCAGAGCAGAGTGGGGAAGAATTCACAGAAGCCAGGCCCTAGTGCTAGGTATGGAATAAGGCCTTCCCAAACCCAGCTGTGCAAGCATCTCCAAAGTATAAAAGCAGACCTGGAAAATACAACAGGGGCAGAAACTCCCACTGAAAATAGCAGATTGCCTGTGTGGCATCACATTTAACGTAAGGACACCTGAAGCTGGACCTACAAAAGCGAAAATCTTAATGATGGATGGATTTTCGAGGGGAATATGAGGAATTCATCTGAAGCCTTTTTGTCTCTTTTCACTGTTGCTACAGCTATTCCAGCCCTGCTAGAACTCTGTACTCTGTTTTGTTAGATGCCAACTACCAGCTCTTGATAGAGATATTGACTCTGATATATGGGCCAATACTGAAATAAATAAAAAACTGAAATGGGCAGCTTCTTGGAGACAGTCCAAGAACAGTCACTGAAGTAGATCAGAACAGTCACTGCAATAAATCAGAAGCGGTGACACAGAGGAGAATGTTGAAAGAAGAAAGGCTGCTTTCATCATTTTTTTTTTAAAAAAAAAGGATAGATGGGGTGAATAGTTAAAAATAGTTTAAGGAGTTGCTTACACAAGTAGGAGGAATAGGGTTAAAGCATGGGGTTAAATCAACAAGCAAACATTAATATTGCTGAGTTAATTGCATACGATCTGGTTTATCAGTAACTGCAGGAGACGCAGCAATAGCAAGTATTTGGAAGAAAAGGCAAGGGAAAGACCTCCTCAGGTTTAGCCCATAGGGCTGCTGCAACCTGGGAGCAGAAATGCTTGAGATGGAAGGTTTCCTGAAGCAGTGAATTAGAGAAGGTGCCTAGCAAGGCTCCCCACGGTGAAATAGCTTCTGGGGCTAAGTCAGAGTGAGCTTGCCTGAGTTTAATAAAAGAGGGACAGAGGGATCCAAGGCTTGTGCCTGGCATAGTACTGTGTGACAGGACACTGCCAGCTTTGAGCACTGCCAGTTCAGGAGTGATAGCACTTGCAGTTGCATCACATGGTGAAGTCTGTGCAAGCTGGGGAGAAGAACAGCTTGGGAGAAAATAAGTGTTATATATGTGTTTCCATAGCACTAATGCAGTTTTTATTTGTAAACCAGCAA